CTTCAATGAGACTTTAAACTAGCAACGTGATCGTTTCGTAGTATTTGTATATAATGTTATATTTTGCTAGACAACGCAGTTGTTGAAGTAAAATATTTATTATATATTAATACGAAGAAACGATCAGGAAACGATCGATACTACGAAACGATCACATTGCTAGTTCAAAGCCTCGGAATTTGGGATTTTCCTGCTTGCAAGGCGTTTGAGCGTTATCTGAAGCTCTCCTCGCGAAGGGGCCATCTGACGACGCCTTCGACTGATAGCTCAGCCTCTAAACCTCAACTTTCAACTTCTTTGTTGTAGTTGCCTCCTGAACTAGCTCGGTGTGAGCACGATGATAGTCTCTCCTTGATGAGTCTCCTAAGGCCTTAACGGTCCTGTTTCAGGATTGCGCAATGTGTACTTTGACACAATTTCGCCTAGTTTAGAGAGAACTGCTTCTCAGGACTTCTTTCAGGTACTGAAAAAAAGCGTTTTGAAAATGAACAGTTAACTGCGTTTCGGCTTGAAAATTATCAAATTTCTGCTTTTCTCCTTCTGGCTGGAATAGAGTTTTAAGTGTTTAGATGGTACATTGACTAACTCGCAAAAATCGCTCTGTCACCGCGCGAGTCTCGAATTTTGGAAGTTTTCATTGCGTGATAAAAGCGAGAGGAGTGCGAGAACATCGTTTTACTTTGATACTTTGATGGACGTTTGCTGATGTGCTCAGTGCTGACCATACTTCCTCAATATGCTTCTGTTCTATGCCGCGATCATCGAATTTCGACCAGGTCGGCTGAGCACATTGCGAGTTCGTCAAATGTACCGTCAGAGCGAATTTCTCTCGCGCAAGACTCGGCAGTTATCTTTATTGGCACAAAATACTAGAACATGTTCCAAAAAATTTTTGATCGCAAGTTTAAAAAAAAAAATCACTTAAATATATAGAATATAGTCGTCAATGTTAACGTTCAGTTTTAACGTTCAATAGAATGTTCGTTCGATTTTTTTCAAACAGTTTACCTAATTTTAAACATATAAAACGGGATCTCGCTTTTTTTTTGACTGTTATCCACTTTACTCCAAATTTTGTGTGAAAGTTCAGTGTAAGCCCTGTAAAAGTACACACCAGTTTTCCGAGTAATTTTGAGACTCTCTCTGCTCGAAACTTGTGGCAAAATTGATCTCGATCATCTAGGTGCCGCAAAAATTCGTTTGCTACGACATCTTCGAGCTTTAGCACGTGCCACAGAATATTTTTTTATTTCAAAGTTCATGAAGTGGACTTACCCTCCTGTAATTTAATTATAAATCATAAAAACAAATGAAAAAAACTCAGAAAAAAAGCGAGGTGAGATAGAAATAATTTGGAATTCCTCGAAATATGCGTAAAACCAAGTGCGCCCTATTGCGAAGTGTTCACATATAATGATGGTACGATTTTATCTCAAGTCCGCAAATCTCCGGAGCCGTTATCTCAGAGTACCGTAATCTCAAGGCCCATAATCTCCGAAACCACTTATCTCCGAAAACAAAAAACTTCTATTTTCTTTCTCTTTTTTTCGCATTTTATTTTCACTTTTTTCTTGTGTTGTGCTCAGAATACAATATCCGATCAGAATTTTTCGCCGAACCCTAATTTATTCATAAAGTTTCTACTTTTAATGAGAAGCTGAACAATTTCAAGTTGAGTTAATTGGTAGTTCGGGTTTCACTCTTTTTTTCTTTGCTGTCAACATGAAAAAAACTGATCAGAGATACTGAAGGACAAGAAAAAAATAGAAAAGAAATGTCGATTTGAAAAAAATTTAAAACTATTTTCACTCAGTGGAAAAAAATAAAAAAAGTTTGAAAAAAACGAAAAATATTTGGCTTTCGTACGCAGTTTTCGATCGGAGATGGTATTCTGAGCACAACGCAAGAAAAAAATAAAAATAAAATGCAAATGAGAGAAAGAAAATTGAAGTTTTTTGTTTTCGGAGATAAGTGGTTTCGGAGATTATGGGCCTTGAGATTACGGTACTCTGAGATAACGGCTCCGGAGATATGCGGACTTGAGATAAAATCGTACCATCCATATAATGGGTGATAATTACCGGCGCTTTTCTTCCACCGCATTATTACTTTTATGAATACAAAGACTTTCTTTTCATATGCTTTATGAACGTTTTATAGCTAATTTCGTACTAATTTTTAATTGATTTAGGTAAAATGTTTATTTTGATCGACTTGCGTGATCACGAAAATAAGTCACACGACACCGTTAAATTTGATTTCACAGCTCAGGTATGTTTTCCATTTCTGTATTAAATACAATTCATTGTTTTAGGCGACAATCAAGCAGCTCCACGATAAAATTCTATCTAGATTTCAAATTGGGATAGAATATCAACAGATTTACGACAGCAAAAATAGTCGCATCGATTTGTTGAATGGTTCATTGGAAGGTGTAGGACTGAAAGATAACGAAACGTTGATTCTGGTTAGTTATTTTGACATTTAACACGCTGTCCGTTATTCTCAAAAAAACAACGGGTACAATAAAAAAACATTTTTTTGATTTTTGATGAAACTTCATCCAGTGTGATAGCCAATCATCAGAAATGCGGACCCAACTTTTTGAGTCATTTCCTTTTACTGTAGCCGGGTTACGGTAGCCAGGTAGGAACCTGCGTATCTCAGTATTGAAGAGTTTTTAGTAGACAAATGATATATCAATCGATAGGTAATCCAATTTTGAAAACTTTTACAGTACATACCATCTTATGTTACTGTGGGAAAATTTTGAGTTACGGCACTTTTTGCGTCTGTCGAGTTAGTTTTTCGACCACCACGAGCTTGAGCCGGGAGATCCATTCTTCCTAGCTCCTCAAAAGATACCTTATGAGAAGCTGTACAAGCTGGTACTAGTTCGAAAAAATCCTGGGTGGACCATCATTTCGAAAAATCTCCCCGAAGGCGCGCAATCGTGGTCTTGCGGCGGCCAAATGGGGGAAGTCCATGTCGCCTGACGGCTCATTCTTCACAGATCCATTCTAAATGTTGTTTCTATTTTGCTTATACATGTCTATTATTGATTTTTATTTCAATTTGAGATGTTTTCGGGTTGACCATCATCTCGAAATCTCATTTTGAACCCAAATTTGGCCTAAAATGGCCGACTCGGCTTTTTTCACGGGATCCCTGACCCCGTATGTGACCGTTCTCAACTTTTTTCTTCCTTAAAAATGAACAAAAGTATCTGAACAATAGTTGTATAACGATCGGAAACTATTTTGATAGGACCATCATCTCGAAATCACATTTTGAACCCAAATTTGGCTTGAAAACTTTTGGTTTACCCTTCTAATAAGATTATTGGTTCCATCAATACAGATCTTGGCCCTTTTTCACTTTTTTTAAAGAGAATATAAACCTGAGAACTGAAAATAAATTCTATTTTGGATCAATTCCAAAAATGACTGTTTACCTGGGAAACCTACTTTTTAAATAAAAATTTCGCTTGAAAAATCGAAATATTTTTTTGGTTTCTTTTTCACAAAAAAATAGTCACAAGACGAATGTCTTGTTTTTTTAGGTATGAAAAAAAGTCTGAAGATCCAGAACTACTATTTAGGTTATAAAACATTTATAAAAACATCAGCTTGAAAGTTAAGTTTCAACCTCACCGGTGGTCAGAGTGTCGGGTTTTTTTCTTTTATGAGAAAAAAATTTCTTGGTATTTCACATTTCTCATTTTTGATTTCTTGTTTTGAAAAAAAATTGGCAGAACAAACTTCGATGTAAATGATAAAAACTTCAAATGGGGAAACTAAGCCGATATTTGGGTTCAAAATGAGATTTCGAGATGATGGTCCTCTCAAAATAATTTCCGATCGTTATACAACTATTGTTCAGACACTCTTGTTCAGTTTTAAGGAAGAAAAAAGTTGAGAACGGTCACATACGGGGTCAGGGATCCCGTGAAAAAAGCCGAGTCGGTCATTTTAGGCCAAATTTGGGTTCAAAATGAGATTTCGAGATGATGGTCCTCTCAAAATAGTTTCCGATCGTTATACAACTATTGTTCAGACACGCTTGTTCATTTTTAAGGAAGAAAAAAGTTGAAAACGGTCACATACGGGGTCAGGGATCCCGTGAAAAAAGCCGAGTCGGCCATTTTAGGCCAAATTTGAGTTGAAAATGAGATTTCGAGATGATGGTCAACCTGAAATCATCTCAAGTGGTAATAAAAACCATTAATAGATATCTATAAGTGAAATGGAAACAAAGTTTAGAATGGATCTGTGAAGAATGAGCCGTCAGGCGTCATGGACTTCCCCCATTTGGCCGCCGCAAGACCACGATTGCGCGCCTTCGGGGAGATTTTTCGAAATGATGGTCCACCTAGGATTTCTTCAAACTAGTACCAGCTTGTACAGCTTCTCATATGGTATCTTTTGAGGAGCTAGGAAGAATGGATCTCCCGGCTCAAGCTCGTGGTGGTCGAAAAACTAACTCGGCAGCCGCAAAAAGTACCGTAATTCAAAATTTTTCCACCGTAACCCAAGATGGTGTGTACTGTAAAAGTTTTTGAAATTGGATCACCTATCGATTGATATATCACTCGCCTAGAAAAAACTCTCCAATACTGAGATACGCAGGTGCCCACCTGCCCACCGTAACCCGGCTACAGTAAGAGGGAATGGCTCAAAAAGTTGGGTCCGCATTTCTGATGACGGACAATTATACTGGATGAAGTTTCATCCAAATTAAAAAATTTTTATTGTACCCGTTGCTTTTTAGAAATTTTTTTAAGAATTACAGAGACAGCGTGTTAATTTTTATATACATAGCTAGCGGATTCTGTAAAAATTGCTCTCGAGTTGAATAAAATTAGTAAAATTGTTAATTTTCAGAAACATTCTGAACTTTCACGGTGGACTGCGTACAAAAAATGTCTGGATTTGGTGCTAAAGAAGACCGATGACAAAAAAGCAAATGCAAGAGATGCTGTCAGACATCACGAACTTCTGATGAAATGTGGATTCTTCGATGCCTACCTTCAATTCGACGACTATCGAAAACAAAAACATTCTAAAGTCGCCTCTTGGACCGATGACGACATCAGTTTGATTCGTGATGCGGCAGAACAATACTTCCACCGTCTTCATGATCTGAAGAGAGGAAACCAAGAATCCGATTTTATTTGCAACTTCGAAGACAAAGATCTCGAATTAGGAGGCAGATCTACTAGTACACTGGCATTTGTTCGGATCCATGGTGAAGACTTCGTTTCGAAGTTCTACATCAAGTATGTTTTCGATTCATTCATTCAAGATCCGTTCTTGTTTTTTCCTATTTCATTTTTATCGAAATCAAGATTGATCTGTAATGTTCAGATGTCACCATTTTGGACCAAAAGGCACAAGCTCGGACCAGCCTCCGGACATCAACGAACTATACTGCTACAAGCTGTTGGAGCTGATCGCCGTCGGACCAACATGCCACATTGTTCCACCCATCATCACTACTGGAACAAAAACAAGCGTGTAAGGATATATACATATTAGTAACAAGTAGCAATATAGTATAGAAAGTGACATACATACTAGAGTTCTCAAAATGACCAATTGAAAAACGACATTTCTCAAAAAAACGAAAAAAATTTTTCTTTTTTTGACATTTCGAACGAATGTCGTTTTTTTGAAAGATCAACCAAAAATTGATCACTTTCATTCTTTTTCATTTTGTGACTTTTTCAAATAATGACTGAAAAAAATGAATGGTCATTTTCTAAACAATCATATTCTGACTAGTAAATAAATGTTCGTCCTAATGACAAAAATTTTTTTGAAAGTGAAATTTAAATGTTTACTTTTTTTGACCAAAAATTTCGGAATGAACTTTAAATGTTCATTTTTGAACAAAATTTTCAAAATGAATTTTAAATGTTTACTTTTTGACCAAAATTTTCAAAAGTGAAATTTAAATGTTCATTTTTGACCAAAAATTTTCAAAACGAATTTTTAAATGTTTACTTTTTTTCGTAGAAAAAAATTTTTTTCAACTGTGAAAAATTAATGTTCATTTTTGGCCGATAATTTTTCCGAACCTGGATTTTTCCGAACCAAAATCCAAATCAATACTTTTCCTTTTTCCTCATTCAATTAATTATCCAGATAGAACCTTTCTTCCGGTCTGCTCATTTTTTAACCGGTTTCATATAATTTTTTTCTCGTCCTTAACCGACTTTTTAGCTTTTGCCCTTGACCATCAGATCACTGTTTTTCCAACAGATTTTTTTAATTTTAACCAGAAATTAGTTTGAATTTCGAAGTAATCGATTCAAGATTTCATTTGGAGAAGACTGAGATAGAATTGACTCTGGCACAGATACTGCAAAAGTACCGTAATAGTAATGAATAAAGTAATGAATAAATGTTTACCTTTTTGAAAGAAATTTTCAAAGTGAAATTTGAATGTTCATTTTTTTGACCAAAAATTTTTCCAAGTGAACTTTAAATGTTTACTTTTTCTGACCAAAAAAATTTCAAAATGAAATTTTAATGTTCATTTTTTTAACCAAAAATTTTTTTCGAAAAAAATAAGTAATTGTTCATTTTTTTAAATGCTCAGTTATGAAATTTAACCAAAATGAAGTTTTTAACAAACGGTTCATGTGAAATTTAACTAATTGGTCGAATTCATCAAACGTTCGGAAAATGTTTGGTTGAACGTTCGTTCAAACATTTACTTTTGAGAACTCTAATACATACCTATGCATTTGTAGGTGCATTGCTACAAAATGGGACGACAATTTTAAACTCATGGAGCACGTTATCCAAGAGAATGGTCTTACCGCTGATTTAGCCGTGCAGCTGGTTTTGCTGCGGGTGTTATTATTTATTGCTGATCTTCATCTACAAAACTGCGGTTTGTTTCAAAGTCTGAAAACCTGAATATTATTGATTTATTAATTTCAGGGGTCTGGAAAGGGACCAATAACATTGCGATTGTTGACTTCGCACCGGAAAATGAGATTACAGTTCATGATGACATCAAAGCCCAACTGTTTACAACTTTTCCACATCCAAGATGGAAAGAAGAGTTCAAAGCAGTGAAAAATAAATTGGACGACAACTCATGGTTGAAGATAGTCAAACAGAATTTGGATAAGTGGGGTTTGTCTCGTAAGATCGAACTGGCTCAAGAACAACTCGATCCCACAAAAGACGTTTTAAAAGGAATAGAACTTGGCTTTAAGAGGCGGAAATTATGCTGTAGTCCCACAGTTCAACTGAAGCAATACGTCGATACATTGAACAAGAATTTAGAAAATCTTCAAATTGTTTTGAATTCCACTGTTCACTAACAGTAATCTTCGTCTTGCTGGGTTGTACTTGTCGATAGTGATCTCAGAACCATAAATAAAGCGTGTATTCTACCTCACATAGTATCTTTTGCTTTTGTTACTGAATTCACAATTCCTACTTCTCGTGATTGTATCCATTGTGGTGGTAAAGTGTCTCGCATGAAGATACCTCTACAATTCTTGATTTCCAATACTTCGATTAAAGCAAGGAGATCTTTCTCTAGCTTCATCATTTATTTAGCATTATTTTTATTCACCGTTCTAGCGCATTTTTCTCGACCATTTCGACCATTGGATTTCGACCACATTTTCAAGGTAGCGCATTTCGACCTTTTTACCATTTTTGAAAATTGTTTAAAATGACACATTTTTGATGACCGAAGGTTAGAAATCAATGAAAATAAGCCTCAAAATTCGAAATTGGGCAAAATGGGTAAGTGGTGCGCCAGACAAATTTTGTTCATTTTTCAAAAAAGACTGATTTTGAGTGAGTTAAGACATTTTTTTTTATTAAAAATCAGCATTAAAATGGTCAAAAAAAATGAAAAAGTTGCTTTTGGGCAAAAAAAGGTGCGCCAGCGTCAACTTTTTGTATATTATTAAAATTGATAATAATAAAAAAATAAAATATAAGTCACGAAACGTGGGAAACGAAAACTTCCAGCACTGGTAAGAGTATAACCGTATTGAGTGTTGAATTTTTTGGGGGCGTTGCTAACAGAGGGACTAAGGAGAGATTAGATTCATTTCTTATGGCGCTTGGGTCTTGATGAGAGACATTCGGAGAGGGAAGGTACACGGATCGGGACTTGGCGGATCACTGCCGGAGGCGTTCCTTCTCGGGACTAACCATTTCGGTGCCGCGCACGGTTCCGGAAGCCGACGAGTAGCGGTAGCCGTTCGACGTTTTTGTTTCAGCCTGAAAGATCTGCTTCACTTTGAAGGCTATAAGGTTGATTTAGAAAGTTTGAAAGTACTGAAGAATTTGTCTCAGATAAGATTTTTTTGAAGCAGTTCAATCTATAGTGTTTCACTTCAAACTACACCTCATAAATAAAATTATAATTCATTCTGTGAAAACTTTGGGGGCCACTATAGGGTTTTGACGATTTAGTGGCCACTTAAGGGGTTAAATATTAGTGGCCACTATAGAGGTCCAAGTGCTCCTACTAGACTACTAAAAAAATTCAAGTGGCCACTTTTAAGGGTCAATGG